TTACCACATGAAAAGGTAACACTGAGAAAAATTTTAAACATCTCTTAATTCATTTAAGGGTAACAGTAGTGGGTCCATTGCATGTTAACATAAATGGCATTTTTTATGAAGAATAACTTTTCAAAAAAACTTAGTGAGGAGCGTAACACTGGTTTTCCATTTTTGCAAATATTCATAGTGTCTAGCTTCCTAGAAGACAGCTGGATTCTCCCGGCTGCCTTTGTGCTCAGTCTGTTGGAATTGTTGTTTGGGCCAGCTTCACAGATGAGTAGTCGGAAAAGGGAGACGGAACCCCAGAGGTTCTCAGGCCACGCTTGAGGAACTGCTCTTCTAGAAGGAGGCTAAGCACCCACATGTAATAACTGGAGAAACTGAGGCATGGAGACAGAGGACTAGGACTCCCAGCTCTTTCTGTGACTGCTACCAGGAGGGTCCCTAAAGGAGGACTAGCCCTCCCATCCTAGTCCCAGAATATCCTGGGGTTGACTGGCTGGTTTGCCTGGGGCCTGGGGAGGAAGTGCAGGACTGGGCGGCCCTGGGGAACTGGGAAGATAAGCTGCTTCGGCCTTGGGCAGAGGGGCCAGCGGTGGCCTGATACAACACTCACAGCGTCAGCCTGAGAAACACGATAGCGCAGGCCCTGGCGCCCCCAGCCCCCACACTTCTGGGAGGAACCCTGTTCCCAGAAGTCTGTCCCTGGACACTGCCGTCAACCTCGCAGTTCATTTCCTGGTTAAACAAACATCTATATTAAATGGCCCGGTTGGGCAACGCCCAGTAGCAGCTTCTGAGGAGAGCCTCGGGCACATGGCCGGCCAGGCCCCCTTCTTGTCCGGCTGGTGAAGACACATCCATCATTGGCAGAGTCACTTAGGCAGGACAGCCCCGTGTGTCCCACCCAGAGTCTGCCCGTCTGGCAGGAGAGGTTGGGAAGGACGTGCAGAGTGGCCCGTGCCCCAGTCTGCCCCTGACAGCTTTGAGATCGAAACAATGGTAATGGTGACAACCCTGAACATTGGGGTGGGCCTGACCACTCCCATCCATCATCTCATCGTCTCGTCCTTGCACGGTGGGAGTGCTGACCTCATCTTCTGGGCTTGCCCTCAGCTGCGTAGCCACTCGTGGCCTGGCTGGGATGTGGGTCCGGGCATCCTGACTTCCAGCATAGCTCTTTCCTGTGTAGCATGCTCCGAGGTAGGCACTGCTCCGAGGGTCGGAGATCAGAGGGAACCGAGTCAGAGGACTAGCCTGGGCGCCCCCTGGAGTGCCAGACTCCTGCTACCTCCTTTCCAGCACAGGTGAAGAATAGGTGTTTCCAGCTTGAGAAACCCTGCCATCTGTCATGAGCAGAGATGACATTTACCAAGTGCTTACTGTGTGCCAGATGCACTGCTAAGTGCTTGGTTGTTGAAGCCAGACTACCCGGTTTTGAATCTTGGCTCTGCCACTTACTAGCAGTGACTTTGGGCAAAGGTTGGAATTTACCTGCGCCTCAGTTTCCTCATCTGCAAAATGGAGGTAATAAGAATAGTACCTTGCTCATAGGTTGTTGGGAGGATTCAGTGAGAATACATGTAAAAAGCTAGAGCCATTCTTAGCACGTACTAAGTGTTCAATGAATGCTAGCTGTTCTGTTATTAAGTAGGTATTATTATATTATTTTATCACTGCTGTGTTACAGATGGGGCTCAGAGAAGAGAAATCACCTGTTCAAGGGCATAGGTGTAGGAAGGGGTGGAGCCCAGAATTTGAACCCAGGTCTTCTGACATCAGAGCGCACACTCTCAGCATCATGCTGGATGACAAGTGAGAATCGAGTCACAGGCCTCTGGGAGATAGGAGGTCATCTTGTCTTCATTTTATAGGGGAAGAACCTGAGTGTGAGATCTCCTGACCCCTGTCCTTTCTCTACAAAGTCATTCTCTTGATGGAAACTTGACCACAGGGTTTCTTAGCTGTTAAGGCTCGTCCTGGCAGAATATATTTTCCATTGCAAGGGTTTTGTTTACAAAGCCTTTTCACATGTGGGACTCTGCAGGAGCCCCTGCTTGGGAGGAGTGAGCTGCTCTTGTCCACAGATCCCCACACTAGCCCTGCAGATGCAGAAGGCAGACAGTGAGTCACGATTCGGCGCCTGTGGGAGGGCGGGAGGCCAGGTGAGGCTGGAGGCCTCTACAGGCCTCGCTGTTTTCCCCTCCTCCATGGATGCTGTGATAGCCCGCCAAGAGGCAGCAGTGAGATGCAAGAGGGAGACTGACAAAGGACCCAAGTTCTGCCCTATTTGGGTGGCCTTGAAGAGAATGAAATCTCCAAAAACACTATGCTTCTTAGCCAAGAAACTATTAGGGGTGGAGCAGCTAGAGAAGGGAATTCATTTATTGAATGCCTACTGTGTGCCAGGCACTGTATCTCATTTCCTTTATTTATTCAGTTGTTGACTGAACATCTCTAGTGCAAGGATAGCATCAGGTAGTGTGGTTGCTATAAAGAAGAGCAGAGCAAGATCAAAGGTTATAACAAGTGGCTCTCACCCAGAGGTGAGATTTTGCCCTCCCCCCACAGAGGACATTTGGCAATGTCTAGAGACATTTTTGGTTGTCCCAACTTGGGGTGGGGGCTGCTCCTGTCATCCAGTGGGTAGAAGCCACAGATGCTGTTAATGATCCTACAGTACATAGGACAGCCTTTGCAACCAAAGCTGCCTGGCCTAAAATGTCAGTAGTGCCAAAGCTGAGAAACCCTGGGGTAGAGAATGACTTTGGGTGATCTTTATTTAGGGCAGGTGGTCATGGATGGGCACAATAAGGATGGGACTTTTGATCTGAAAACATCAGACAGTAAGGATGAGATCTGGGAAAGAGCATCACATGCAGAGGGAACAGCAAGTACGAAGGCCTTGAGTCAGGAATGTATCATCAAAAAGACTGTGCACGAGGGGCGCCTAGGTGACTCAGTCAGTTGGGCATCTGCCCTCGGCTCAGGTCATGGTCCTGGGGTCCTGGGATCAAGCCCTGCGTCAGGCTCTCTGCTCAGCAAGGAGCCTGCTTTCCCTCTCCCACCACCCCCACTCATGTTCTCTCTCACTATCTCTCTCCCTCTCTCTCTCAAATAAACAAATAAAATCTTTAAAAAAAAAAAAAAAAAAAGACCAGTGCACGAGATCAGAGGTTGATTATTCTCCACCATATTTCAGATTAAAAAAACTGAGGCTCAGAGGAAAGTTTGCCAGCCGCCATACAATTACACAATGTAGGAGCCGGGATTTGAACTGGATATGCTTCGTCCCAGAGTCCCTTTGCTTTCCACTACCTCAACTGCTACTCTCAGAGGCATGGCTCAGCCTTCATTTTGCAGTTGAGACTTCTCCCCTACTTGACCCTGTAAATTATTTTTTTCTTATTCCATCCTTGAGCACTTGGTTCCAGCCCTGGTTTCTACCTCAATAAGAAAAACCACAAAGATAATGATAGCCATTACTTCTGTAGTGCTTACTGCGCACCAGGTGCTATTCCGCGTGAGAGATATCTATATAGATACATAGACAAGAGATAGAGAGATCTCTACATATGCACTCATCTGGTCTGCACAATATGCAGGTTTTAGGTACCCTTGTTCTGTTGTGCCCGATTTATCGATAGGAAAATTGAGGTATAGAGAGAGGCTAAACGACTTGTTCAACTAGTAAAGGGCAGAAGTAGGATTTGAGTCCAAACTACCTAGTTCCAGGGTCTGTGCTCTTAACCATAACACTGTGTAGTTGCTCTCTCAACAGGTAGTGAGTTTCTAGTCATTAGAGTAGATCATTCACTTGACCAGTGGCTCCTTGAGTTTAGTCACACATAAGTTCAGCATAGAAGGGAATTTCACTTTATTCAGACATGGAAAGACTGTGGCCCAGTCTCAGAAAGTGACTTGAGCGGGTTGTACCAGGAGGCAATGGTAGAGCTGTAACCAGAAGCCAGGTGTCCCACCCAAGTGCCTTCTGCTCCGCTGTGGGCCACCCCACCCCCAGACTTGCCTGCACATTCCTGGCACCTGCTGTCTGTTCTGTCAGGCTGCCCCATAGTGTCTTTGCTCTCCGGGATGCCAGCCAGCAGCTGTCTAATATTTGTCAGGTTTGGGGCCACAGAGGAGGGGCCTGCTTGTGGCAGAAGGCCCAGGCATCTGCCTCAGCCCCACCCATCCTTCCTGTTTATAGATATAATCTCAGTTATTCCCAAATCTTACAGGTGCAGAAGCTGGGCCTCAGTGGGTTAAATGGCTCACCTCCTGAGGTAAGCCAAGACAGTTAGTGCTTCCCAAGTGGAATGAACATTTATTCATCCTTTCATTCACTCATTCATTCTTTCAGCCAACAAAAGCAAGCCTACTCTGTGTGAGGCACTGGTAGTGCATGGGTGGAGTTTATGGTTCCTGCCCTCCCAGAGAGACATACTTGGTATCCTGAGAGGAGAGTGCCCCAGAAAGGGTACCTAATCCAGCTGGTTCAGGCAGGGGGTCAAGAAAGCCTCCTTGGAGGAGGTGATGGATACCATGGCTAAGTCTTGAAGGGTAACTGGGAATTAGCCAGGCAGAAAAGGGGAAAAGGACACCAAGGGGACAGCACGTGGAAAAGCAAGAAGCGAGAGCCCTCTCTCTGTGCAGAGAACCGTGGGCGGTTCAAAGTTGCGAGGCCTGTGGGTGGACGCCAAGACCACACAGTCGTGAGAGGGTCCCCTAGTGAGCACTTACTGTGTGTTGGGCAATGTGCTGAGCATCATCTCAACAACCTTCTGAGTTAGATGCTTTCAATATCCACACTTGCAGGTAAGGAAACCAAGGTGCCGTGAGGTTGAAGATCTTATGGGTAGTGAGAGCCCAGGAATGGGCTGAGAAGTACATGGATTTCGCCTCCAGCAGTTGGCAGTTCCTTCTGTAAACCGGAGGCTTGTGGAGGTGGGGTCTCCCTTCCCCTCTGAATTGGTGCTGTGCCTCCTAATGACTCTGTTCCCTCCTTGCAGCTGGAAGGACAGTCTAGAGCCCATGTCATCGCACAGGAACTGCTGTCTTCGGAGAAAGCGTGAGTCCCCAAGCAGCTGCCTGTGGCCTTGAGATTGTTAACAGAACGTCACCCCTCCCTGGCTTAAATGGGATGGGAATTAATGCAAACTCAACCCTCTTTCCCTCTGCAGATACGTGGAGATGCTCCAGCACTTACATCTGGTGAGTTAATCATTTACGTTGTCCAAAACTCATTGCCCTTTTACAAGGCTGTGATATAAGAGGCAGAAAAGCAGTAAGGAGACAGAGGTGATTTCGATGAACAGAGGCTTGGCAGCAGACAGATGTCCACCAAGGCTTTACGTGGACGTCTGTCTCCTGATTCATGTGCTTCAGGGGGTGAATGGCACTGTGCTTTCCGCAGAAGTGCCATTCTCTCTGCCTGGACCAGAGCTGTATGGGGGGATGTGCTAAGGTTTCTGGAAGGATGTTTGCAGTTTCCTCAGCCCTCTTGTTGAAGGAGGCAGAAGGAGGCAATGGGTCATTGCTGTGTGTGCGAGTTGAGGTGTGTATGTGAGTGTACGTGTGTGGGTGCATGCGTGTTGTGGGGGGTGTATACATGTGTATGTATGTTTAGGTCTGTATGGAGAAGAGGGTATGTTACCAGTGTGACAGGGCAGCTGGGGTAGAGAGAGGCTTTCTCAGTCATCCCAGCACTGGGGCAATAACACCTGAGCCCACGGAGAGGAAATCCTCCGGACTTTCAGAGGAAAGGAGGCCAGACTTGGAGACTACCTGGGTATCAGGCACTGCCACCCTTTCCAACCCACAAAACTGCCTGGAAGGTCTCCCTTTGCAGTCAGTCCAGTTCAGTTCAACAAACATTTTTTGAGTACTTGCTGTGTGACAGGAGCTGGGAAGTAGAAAGTCAGATCAGGCAGGTCCTTTTCCAGGAGCTCTCTGGCCAGTGAAGGAAACAGATTAGTAAATGAGTAATCATCTGGAGCACAGGGGGAAGGACTGACAACCTGGGGGAATCTAGGCAGACTTCCCTGAGGAGGTGACTTTTGGGATGAGTCATAAGGAGGGATGAAGGAAGAGGGTACAGCTGAGATGTGGGAAGTGAAGGAACATCAAGGGCACCTGCTCTTTGAGGTCTCTAAGCCATTTCCAGTCCCCTAGTAGTTTAGCATCTGATTCCACACTGTTTTGCATCATTCACCACGTCCATCCAAGAACATCAGAGCTGGGAATGTCCACCCTGGAGGTTTTCTCTGTGGTGATATGGAGGCCCAGAGAGAGTGACTGAGCCAGGGTGAACACCCTGTACTCCCAGTGCACCGTCATGGGTTAATCCTGCGTCTGCCAACTACCTTTGGTCCTGCAAGGACCTCTCTGGATGCAGCAGATCACCCAGCACCAAGCCAGGTCTCCTGCGGAATCCAGCTGAGGTCCCAGTCAGTGACATCACCCTACTGTCACATTGCTCTGTGAGCAGGGGCCCCCAGGTCCCTGGCAGCAGGACAGAGCACTACTCTGGTCTGTGCACCCAGCCCCTCATTTTTGCCCTTTAGAATGAGAGCTTTGTGTTCATTATTAAACCCAAAAACCCTCAAGTATGAAGTGTACCACACTCTTACACCTAAAAGATTTCTTTAGGAAGGGCAGGAAGAGGCACTCTCCTGTTTTTTCTTCTCTCTCACTTGCCTCTGAGCTGGCAGCATGACAGAGAGGCTGGGCTTTTTGTTTTATGACTTTGTTAAGAGGGTTTTAACTGGGAAACTTCCATCTGTGTTTGCACTGCTTCCTGCCAGTTGGAAAGATGCTGAAACCGCTGGTAATCCATAATAATATCCTGAGGAGAAAAAAAAAAAAAGAGCCCATAAAAGTCACAACTCATAAGCTAGTTTCGGGAAATTGTGGTCCAGAGCTACATTTATGACGTCAGTGTGTATAGGGACAGAAGTGACAGAAAAGCCCCAGTGTGACTCCAAGTCCTAGCCAGGGACATGAGTCTAAAGGAGACCCATAAACTTCAAGACATTCTCCACCACTCCCAGTCTGGATCCATCTCTGAATGCTAAGATTGGCAGGTTATCTCTCAGAATTCCTCCTTCTAGATTTGATGCTATTGAACTCCCAAGGCTCCCAGTGATGGGAAGGGCTGACCATGCATTCTGAACCTCCCTAGCTAGAAAGGTCTCTGGCTCCATTATGCTGTTTTAAGGGGGGATGGGGTGGCCTCTGGCCTTCTATGTTTGTGATTCAACCCTGTACTTGTGAACTGGTAGACAGAGCTAACTCAGGGATCACTAAAAGTTCTGGTCATCCAAAATTGAATCCTAATTGTCAAGATCCTGTTCTTGCATAGCCTATTAACTAAGAATGGATTTTGTATGTTTTGCTTATTTTATTTATTTATTTAAGATTTTATTTTTTTATTTGGGGGGGTTCAGTGGGGGGAGGGGCAGAGGGAGAGGGAGAAGCAGACTCTCTGCTGAGCATGGAGCCTGACTCATGGGGCTCCATCCCAGGACCCTGAGATCATGTCCTAAGCTGGGGCTAGCCACTTAACCAATTGAGTGACCCAGGCACCTCTATATGTTTTAAATGTTTGTGAAAAAAGGCAAAGAAGATGCATCAACTGTACTAAGAGTTTTCCATATATTCTGGATACTATACCCTTGTCAAATATATAATTTGAAAAAAAGAGGTGAAGAATATATGACTGAGACTGTGTGTGGTCTACAAAGCCTTAAATATTTATTGTGTGTCCCTTTACAGAAAAGGTTTGCTGACTTCTGGTTTAAAGACTCCCTTCTATCCTTCCAGGAATCCAGTCATAAATGCATTCATCCCCCTGCCCATCTATCTGTATAATCAAATTCTCACCCACTCATGTAACCAGCTTTTCAACCACTCATCTGTCCTTTAATCTATCTATGCCCCTCTATGGCACATCTGTGCTCCCATTCATATCCCCGCCTCAATTCACCCACTATTCAGAGGTCTACCCATCCTCCCATCCACCCATCCTCCCATCCACCCATCTTCCCATCCACTCACCCATCCACCCATCCCCCATCCATCCAACCATCCATCCACCTGGCTTATTCCTTTTGGATGGGACATCACAGGATTTTTACAGTGCCTATGGCACTGAGATGGGCCTTCGAGCCCCAAAGATATATATGGCCTAGAAATCTGCCCTTGAATAGATGTCTCTTATTTGTGGGGGAAAAGGGTGGAGTGGGAGGAGAAATAGATAGGTAAATAGTCAGTTATGCTACTCCATGGTAAGTATAATTTGCACAATTATAGTTTTGTGCAAAATCTGCAGGAGCATGGGAAAGGGAGAGACTTATTCCCCTTTGGGGTATCTGAGAAGATTGGCAGAAGAGGTGCCCGTAAGATGGACTTTGAAGAAGCCTGAGGGAGGAGGGCATATAAGGCAGGTGGTCAGCATGGAAATGCTCACAGGCCTGAAGGTACATGATATGTCTGGAGAGTGGTGCATCGTCACACATGGTTAGAACATGGAAAAGTTTGAAAAGGCAGGTTGGAGGTGGAATTGGGGGTCAAATGATTGGTCCAAAAACCAAGTACCTAAAATGCCAGCCCCGGGGTTTATGCTAGTTATTTGTTATAGACCTTGAGCAGTTATGTCCCGTGGACATCTTCGATGCTCTGTTTTCACATCTTAAAAAAAAAAAAAAAAAAAAATCCCTCCCTAGCAAAAGCTGAAAATTCCTACCATGGGTTCCTCCTTTGGGCTAAGGCATTGAAGGCCTTTTCAGAAGCCAGTCTGCTGACTGGGAGAGGTAACCCTGGAAGTTATCACCACCTGATTCCCTAAGAGAAGCTCCCTCCCCTAAGAGGTCCTGTCTGCCTCTCTGGCACTGCCTCCTACCACTTTTGTTGTTCGCTCCAGCCACCCTGGGCCTTCCCACTCTTCTTCACATACTACAAATGCATTTCCGATGCATGGCTTTTGCACATGTTTTTTCTGCCACTGGAATGTCCTACCCCCGATCTTCTCATTGCCAGTTCCTCCTTCTTATTCTGGTGTCAGCTCAAAGTGGTGCCCAAAACTTAGTGGCATAGAACAACCATGTTATTATGCTTGCAAATTCTTTGGGCCAGAAGTTTGGACAGGGCAAGGTGGGGAGAGTGTGTCTCTGCTTCCCAGTATCTGGGGAGGAATTCAAGACTAAGGGCAACTTGATGGCCAGAGGTTAGAATCACCCTGAGTGTCATCTTTCATAGCTGGTGGTTAGTGCTGGCTATTGTCTGGGACCTCCTTTGGGCTGTTGGCCAGAATGCTTACTTGTGGCCTCTCCATGTGGTCTCTCTGCATGGGCAAGTTTGGGCTTCCTCACAGTATGGTGGCAGCATTCCAAGACTCAGTGTCCCAAGAGAGAGCCAGGAGGAAGTGCATGGCATTTTTATGATCCAGCCTAAGTCACGTAGCACCACTTCCACCATAATCTATTAGTGGAGACAGTCACATAGGTCTACCCAAGTTCAAGGGGAGGGAATATAATTTCCAGCATCAATGGGAGAAATATCAAGTTTACATTGCATAATGACCGTGTGAGATAGGAGATACTGTTATGAACCATTTGGGGAAAATACAATCTGGGTCAACTGGAAGTCAACTGAGTTGTCAAAGCTGGGTTCAGCTCAGTGGCTGTGCTTCTTATGTGTTCATTCTGGGACCCAGGCTGAAGGGACAGCAGGCAACCAGGGAGGGCTCTCCCCATGGTGATGGCAGGGAGTGAGCAGAAACACCGGAGGGCTTCTGAGATTCAGTCTCACGACTGGCACATCATCACTTCTGCCCATGTCCCATTGGCCAGAGCGAGTGCCATGGCCTGGCCCAAAGACAAGGGACAGGGATCTGCTCTCCCCATGAAGAGGCCATGGCAAGGGTGTGGATGCTAGGGGAGGGTAAGGAACCACAGCTCTGCCTCCTCTTCTGCACCATCTCATACTTCTTTTTATTTTCTTCACAGAACCTTTCATATCTAAAAATCATCTAATTTATGTATTTGTTTACTTATGTTGTATTTTCATTTTTGTTCAATTCCAAATACTTTCTAATTCCCCTTGTGATTTCTTCTTTGACCCATGAGTTATTTAAAATTATGTTGTTCCATTTCCAACTATTTGTGAATTTCCCAAATTTCCTCCTACTGCTGATTTTTAATTCCATCATGGTT